CCACTAGCCACTCCTCGGAAGGAAGGTTGGGCAATCTACTTCCGTAGTGATACTGCCTTGGCAACCCAAGGAGGGGTCGTTATGAGTTGGGTCTGACTCCACAGCAAACAACAACAACAATAACAACTACACTCTCCTACCTGTGAGGGAGAAAAAATATTTCAACTCATTTCATATCCAGGCTTAATTAAAATGTGCTATCATGGCACCCTATTCAATGCATACACCTTAAAAAGGAAGCAGACAACATTTAATCACAAACATTTTCCTTTCTGAATCAAGTACTCTACATATAAAATGTGAGAGTTGAAACTTTGATGATTAAAGTTTTTTCCTGTTCTGTTGTTCTTTCAGCTTATAGGATAATGGTGGAATTTTAGATTTTAGTGACCTGTTATTGGCAGAATTATCCATATCTTTATAGGTGAGAAAACTGAGGTAGAAGAGTTTAAATGAGTTGTCCAAGATCATATGACTAGCTAGTGACAAAAATGGTTTTGGACCAGAGGTCTTCCTGATACCCTTCAAATCCATTAAGCAGTGTCCTGCTTCAGAGAAGGCAGCAATTGAGGCAGAAGCAGTACCAGCTTTGGAGCCTGAATTTTGGCTCAGATTGTTGTTATTCCTCCCGTGACTTTGGGCAAGTTGTTTAATGTCTCAGGATCTTAAGTATCTCTATTTATAAAATGGAAGAGATTTGACTTATGTCAGATTTGGCTTGGGCAAATCACCTTTGCTCCTGACCCTCGTCTAGGTTTAATAATTATGCTACCTTGTTCATAAAATTGTTTTATAAACCTATTGTGAGAGTTTGTGAAAATTTTCTTCCCCCTCAATGTTTCCCAAAGTATTCTCCATAGATCATTATTACCATGAAATGCTCTTAAACAAATAAATAAAAGGTTCATGGTCAAGTAAGTTTTGGAATGCTAAATACCAAATATCTTTTTCTTGGAAACTCATGGTGCATATCAGCTTGTAGACCTGCAGGGAGGCATCCTGTTTAACATTCATTTAATCCAGTGTTTCCTAGACTTATTTGACCACAAAAATCTCTCTTTTTTTTTTTTTTTTTTTTGGTATAGGGCTTGTAACACCAGAGGAAGTGTTGTTCTGAGGAACAGAGTTTGGAAAACATTGCAATACACCGATGTCAGGCACTGTTGTCATTGTTGCTATACTGGGTCAACTTGCTGGGTACCATTCGATGTTGGGCCTGCAGCTCAATCTCCAGGGTGTTCATGGTGCGTCTCAATTCAACCAGCTCCTTCTGGCAGCACTGCTGCTGTTGAGAGTTGGTCACCACCTGTTGATTTAGCTTCTCCATCTGAAACACAGTCAAGGACCATTGATATTATGGCAGAAAAACATGACTTCGATTGAATGGCAATGACATTCCTGGAAATGCAATGACAGTTTATTACATTCTACTTTTCCCACCTGGCTGTTGAACCACTCCTCCACCTCTCTGTGGTTTGTCTCCACAATAGACTCATATTGACATCGCATTTCTTGTAGAACCCGGTTTAGATCAGCAGAACGGGCAGCAGTCACTTCAATGTTGAGTCGGTCCCCAAGCTGACTCTGTAAGGAATCGATTTCCTAAGGAAAGAAAAAAATGTCAAGCCACTTAGTGAACATATGACCCCCTTGTGTTCTTGCGTCAGTCTAATAACAATAATTTAGTTTAATTGCATCTGAAGTATAACCCACAGTAAAAGAATATATATTGATTTATAGGTGCTCTTGAGATGCTATGAAATGCCTTCAGGCTATTTCAGAAATGACTGTGTGCTAAAATATGTGCAAAGCTAAAAGGAATTGGTTAGCAAGATCAAGGTTTTAAAGAATTTAGATTATTTCTGGGGATGAGTAATGGGCAAAGTAGCAAAGAGGTAGAATTTATAATGAGAGGCCATAATCTCTATGATGCCAATATAGGCTTGGGCCAACATTGACTTATACCAATATGAGGTGGCAGAGTCTGTGTAGAAAAGTCTACAAAAAGGTGAAGAACCTGTGAAGACAGGAAACTTGGGTTCTTCCTTCATCCTCACAAGCTGGAGGGGCCCATGGAAGCTTTTCTATCGCCGTGTGGTTTTAGATATTGTACAGTAGTGAGTGGATTGGAAACATATTGAACTAGTGAGAGTAGCAGTAGATACTATTATTGTCCAAAACAAGAGCACTATGTAGTGGGGATGCCCTTTGTTAAAGTTCAACTCAAAGCAATTGATGCTCTTGTTAGAGGGTTTGCCCGAGATGATTCTTTTGGTCTTTGAGTCACCTCTTCATGGTTGTTTTTGAGGCAGAGTAGCTCCTCCTTCAGAGACTCCATTTGTGCCTCCAGGTCCGCCTTGCCCAGGCTCAGTGCATTCAGGATTTGCTGCAGGCCATTGGCATCTGCCTCCACCAGCTGGCGTAAGGACCCCTCTGCTTCATACCTTTAAAAATGAGACATGAAAAGAAAATCTGTGTTTGAAAGATAGATGGTGTAGATAGGGACAAGCAGAACTGCCTTCTGTATTTTTCTCTAGGTCTCTTTTTGAACTCTGTTTCTGTTGTGAACTTTGTTCCCTTTAGAGATGAAACCACTGGATAAACATGACCACTTATCATTCTCAGATTGTTTTCCAGAGTGCTGTGATGTTGCTAATTCTTTGAGATAAGGCAATTGCCTCTCTCCCGCCCCTAGAATCAGTGCAGTTCAAGCACTTGATGACTTAGAAATATTGGTTCCAAATTTTGCCTCTGTCTTGTACTAGTTGTATGCCTTTGGGTAAGTAATTTAACTTCACTAATCCAATGTTTTCTCACCTTAAATAGGTAGCAATATATTGTTGTTGTGTGCCCCGTTGATTCAGTTGTGACTCATAGAGACCCTGTATGACAGAGTAGAACTGCCGCGGGGTCAGGTTTCCTAGGCTGTAATCTTTTACAGGAGCAGATAGTCAAGGCTTTTCTCGTGAGGAGCAGTTGATGGGTTCGAACTGCTGACCTTTAGGCTAGCAGACAAGTGATTAGCTGTTGTACCAGCAAGGCTCCTTTTAACAATATATTGTTGTTGTTGTTATGTGCCGGCGAGTTGGACCTGACTCATAGCGACCCCTCCTTGGGTTTCCAAGGCAGTATCACTATGGAAGTAGATTGCCCAACCTTCCTTCCAAGGAGTGGCTCGTGGGCTTGAACCGCCAGCCTTCTGGTTAACAGTCAAGTGCCTTAGCCACTATGCTACCAGAGCTCCTTAACAATATATTAGCCCTACCTATTTTACTGAATCATTGTGCAGGTAATAAGATGGCTTCATACTTTAGGAATTTCAGGTATTCTATACGTGTAAGCTGTTATTAATTCTAATAACTTGCTGAATTTGAAGATCCTTTCTGGGCTAGAGCTAACATGGCATGGGGAAGGCAGGTTATTGGACTTGGGGACCATCTTATCAAGAGGATTTAGCGTGAGACTCAGGGTGAATTCTGTCATGCATGATGGTGTTGGATGGGCTTACTTGGCTCTCAAGTCATCAGCAGCCAGTTTGGTGTTGTCAATTTGTGAGACCAGCCTGGAATTCTCAGCCTTGGTACACAAGATCTAGAATTAAGAAATTGTACACACAAATGAGACAAACACCAGAATCTCCTTTAACAACCAAGGGCTTGTGTGTTTCAACTGATAGGGGAAGGCTGGTTAGGCTTTTCATTAATCTTCATAGCTATGCTCAGTAAGCTTGGGATACTTTGGATAGTCAGAGTTTTTCCTAAAAGATTGGCAAAAAATTACATTAAAAACTTATATATACTTCTGTTAAAACATAAAATCCATCCTCAGTTTTCATAGGATAATACAGTCCACTAGAATGCAAATTCCATGAGGGCAGGCACATTTTTTTAGTTCAACAATATTTTCCTAGAGGCCAGAACAATGTCTAGTACTTTGTTGTTAAAATTCAATAAATATTTGAACAAGTAACTGAATAAATGCACTCTGTGTGGGAGCAACTTATCACTCTGAATAGGAAACTTAGCTTTGGTGTTGGAAGAAACTATTTATACAATTTGGAGATGATGAAATAAGCATAGACTGACAAAGGGGTGGTGATGGTTGCAAAATAAATAAAAACTAAACTGTTTAGGAACTTCTTAAAATAAAAGGCATGTTCTCAGATCCCTGTTTTCTTATTTTTGTTAAAGAAATGGCAGCAATAGGTTGTTAACAAGTTTTGGTCCTGACTTATCTGACATAATAACAGAATGAATCTGGACAAATGAAGATAGCACCTTCACTCCAGGGATTATTCATTAATTCTATAAAATATTTTTCACTATAAATTAATTTTAAAAGATTAAAGTTTAGCAAATGACTATTTCTTGCAGACCATCCAATCACAGTTTGATTATATAGATTTCTGAGAACCTTACCTTCTGCTGGAGCTCCTCAATGATAGTGTAGTAGGACAGGTAATCAGGACATACAACAGGGGCCTCTTTGTTACACTCTCCCTGGATTTTATACTCCAGATCAGCGTTCTCTTGTTCCAGCATTTGCACTTTTTCCATGTACTTGGCGAGGCGATCGTTCAAGATTTGCATGGTCTCTTTCTCATTACTGTTGATGCCGTCACCACACCAGCTGCAGTCATCCAGAGAAAGACAGGCATTGAAGTTGCTTGATAGGCAGATGGGCATGCAACAAAAACAAGGAGTAGGTCGGCATCCCTGGATCTGGGGATTTCTCAGAACACAGCCAGTTGGTTGGCAGCTGTTTGCTGCAAGACCCTGACAGCTTTTGTTTGAAGAGAGTGTTCTAAAATTTGTAATCCTAGAGCAACTTTGGAGTGGTGTTGAAGAAGAAATGGTAGTACAGCCCTTGGTATCCATAGTATGTGTCCAGCTTTGGTTTTGCTTCAGTCTGTGGTCCCCCAGATGGAAAGGTCAAGCAACCTGTAAGTCTAACTTCCAAGCCTCTTGGCTTCTCTTTGAAGTGCTTATATAGCCTTACCTCTAGGTGGTGTCACAGCAGGCAGGATGTTTTCCTTTCTAATAGTTATATCAAACCCCGTAGGAACATCTCATTAATCTGCTTTTTACTTGCCTGAGAAGAGTTCCTTGTCTCATAAAAAATGTGCGTGTAGGCTGTTACTAAGTTATTACCCATCGCAACCTCTGTTTGTCATTGGACCCAGAGCTTCACATGATGTCTTCAAAAGGAACTGTCATCACAGTCCCAACAGCATCCATTATTAGACAGGTGTGAGTATATTAAGTTCATTAAGTCCTGTGGACCTCTCCACCTGGCATTGTGCTTGACCAGGAATGAGTGTCTTCCTTATCCTTTCTTCTCTAGAAAAGGGAAACTATGGTGAACTTAGAAGTTATTATTTTGTTTTGTTCTGCCCGACTAAATTTCCCATTTTCATTTTTAGGTCATTGTAGGTATGGATTAAAATTCTAGTCTTAGATGAAAGTCTTTTTTAAAGGGAATTTCTAGATTCATGCTTTAGCTTTCCAGGTACAGTTTGGTAGTCAACAAGAGATTTCTTGGAAAAGAGACTGGTTACCTTTGGTTTTCCAAAGCCCATATTTTATAAAATTTTTCATGTTCAGTATTTGATTGTGGTATTACACTTGTTAAAAATTTGTCATGGTGATGGTTTACATTTGTTTGAATATGTTCTGCTGAAAGGAATGTGTGTTCTTTCTGAGGAGTGCTTAAAAAAGAAACTCACTGCTGTGAGTCAATCCTGACTCATAGCGACCTCTCCTTGGTTTTCTGAGGCAGTATCTCTACAGAAGTAGATTGCCCAGTCTTCCTTCTGAGGAGTGGCTGGTGGTTTTGAACCATCTGCCTTCCAGTTAGCAGTCAAATGCTTACTCAGTGTTCTGGTTACCTAGTACTGCTCTGACAAGAATGTACCCCAAATGGGATGGCTTGAACAAACAGGAGTTTATTCTCTAACAGTTTGGAGGCTTTAAGTCTGAGTCCAAAGTGCCAGGCTCTAGGGGCTGGATGAAAGCCCCTCAACATTGGGCTTCAGCTTTTCTTCCTGCTCCCAGCCCACTGAAGCTGGAGGCTTTTTTTTTTCACTCAGCTGCTGGCTGCTGAGGCTGACAAGCCCAAGGTTGACAAGTAATAAGGCACAGTCCCGATGTTACCAAACCACACAGCAGGCCATTAACTCAAGTCCATTGTAAGTCCCCAGGTCAGCAGAGCATGGCAGGCTGCTGAACAACGACACAGCTACATGCAGGGTTCAAGCGTGCCATGAGCTAGAGACCATTCCCAAAGCCGTTTCTTATATATGGGAAGCAGACCACATACCCAAAGCAGCTACTCAGCAGCTGCAATAGAGTCCATCATGGAGTTAATTACTTATCTCACCACAGGGAATAACTATATTCAGCTGCTCAGCCACTCAACCAGGCCCAGCCAAATTGACACACAAACTTAACCACCACACTCAACATTTTCTTAAGAAAGTTATTTGCTCTTGATCCTGTGTATGAAATAAAGGGAAGTGTTTAATGAGTAAACTTAAGAGGTCCATGTGTAGTTTAAGCAACATCTGTCTGACAACTAGTAGCTAGAAATTTGTTTAAGTAAGAGTAACACCACCAATGACAATACATTCTTCTTTCTCAGAAGCATAAAGAAGAGTTTCCTTTTACTGATGGGAAAAAAATTGATATATATATATATATATATATATATATATATATATATATA